CGCGTAATTACCGTTCTGGGCTCTCTCTCTCTCTCTCTCTCTCTCTCTCTCTCTCTCGTGCCCTCGTGAACTCGTCCCAAAAGTATCGGTAGAGCCAAACGCACGGAACGCACCACCGGCCTGCTCGTCGACACGTGCCATCGCTTTCCACGCCGAACTATGTCAAAACGTCGCCTCTGAAATTCACCGATCGTGCAACTATTCCCGTCATTTCTTGCAAATTGAAATCGAATGACTGAAACTTTAGAGCTCCACGGTAATTTCACGTGCGTTTGAAAATCTTTCGTTCGTCGCACACCAACGTCCTTTTCAACGTCCGTAATATTTTTATACTTTCTTCATTCCCGTAGATACGATCGAGTTTGTTTGCAACCCTTGCCGAGTCGAGTTTCCTCCCCCACCTTTCTGATTATTTATTAATCGAGGGTAAATTCTTTCGCGAGATATGGACGAAGGAGTATCGCGCTGTTCATTTAAATTTGAGAAAATCGAACGTAGGAGAATTAATGGCGACAAGGCAACGCGGCAACAAAACCGCAAAGAGCGAAGTGCGCGAAGAGTGCAACGGGGTTAGGCGCTGTTTGCGCCGATCCGTAGATAGCCAGCTCGCGTCCCAGCTAGAGTGGAAAAAGGGGTGGAGTGAGGATGGAGCCAGGAATAGAGAGATAGCCGGGGTGTACTAGGTTTTCAGACGTATATAGGTGGAATATCGCAAGGAAAGGCGCACAGTGGTTGCGCGCACGGCCACCAGGGGCGTGTCCGGTGCCGCCTTCGCGGCGAGCAACCCCTGCGAAATCCACCAACCCCTAGCACCCCACTACCACCTACCACCGAGCCACCTACCACCTATGCACCTTAACTCTTAATTTGCAGAGGCCTTGCTCTTAATTGTCGAGCACTGCTCCGGCCCATCTGCACCTGCGCGATCGTCACGCGTACCTGCAACCATCCGCAACCAACCCGACGCGACACCGACACCCGGCTCTCTACCTCGCCAGCAAAATGGTGATTTGATCCTCTTTCCCATCCTTACTTTTCGTCCTCGCGACTCCTCGCGTCCTCCTCGAAATAAAATTATTATCTCCGATCGAGATACAAAACCGCCATCGTCCGCACGTTTCACACGTTTCACACGTTTCGCACGCGCCAACGGACAGTTTCGTTTGGCCAGACTTTCGCCAGATCGACGCCAAAGGAAACTCGAAAACTTTCCACCCTGCTGCTGCCACCACGCCAACCTACATACGTGAAATTTGCGAGCAAAATACCTACGTCTAGATCGATCTGAATTCTCCAGTTCTCTGTTTTCGCTTTTTCAATTTCTCCGACCGGATAGGGCGATATTTATCTTCATAGTGTTTTAATATCGCGAGCAAATGGGCCGCGAGATTCCTCTCGTCCTCTCTGCTTCCATCTTGGCGCAACACGCCGAGAACGGCTGGAACGGCAGCCGAGATGAAGTTTCTCTCCTCGAAATTACCCGCGTTACTCTGAACTTTCTTCACGCGGCATCGCGTGTACCGCGATAGTAGCGAAAGAAAAAGAAGAAGAAGAAGAAGAAGAAGAAGAAAAGAGAAAGTTGCCTCTAAGAGAATTATCAAACTTGCCTAAGTGCTGCTGAAATATAAAACGTGGGGGTGTAGCGTGTCAGACTTGCAAGATCCATTGAAAACTCTTTGCCGTAACGTATTGCGTTTCTCACGCTTGTTAATAATTAACCAAGCCGCGTCCTCTGGGTCATCTTCAGGCTGAACCTCCGTCGTTGAAAGAATTCTCAAAGTCGAAGTCAAAATGGTTGCCGATACGTTCCTCCTCGCTTTCAACTCTCACCTGGTTGCTTGTTTCTGCAATTTTAGCACTCTTTCTTTTCTTCTTTTTTCTTTTCTTTTTTGTTTTTAGAAAAAGTCGACAAATTTCCAAACGCAGCAGTATTTTTCCAAAGGAACTTTTATTTTATATAGGAAACATTGTGAAATATTTTCGAGCGAGTCGGAGCCAACGTCGGAGAATAAATTGGGACGGTGACAATCGGGTGTTTTCCAGCGGTGGCAACGACACCGTGTGTACGCGATAGAAAAATATGCTTGTGCATTATTTAGGGGTCGCGACGTACGGCGTCTCCGGAGATTCGAGGGCGAGGCGGTACCGACGCGACGTCACAGCTTTCCATCTATCCATCTGCATATGCTTTGAAACGCGGAATGCACGAGGAGGCTGCTATCCCTGTGCTGGGGATCTGATCTCTGTGTACCGCGTCTAGCTTGAGAAACGACCAAACGGAGAAAGATCGGGGCGCAAAGGGCCCTCCTTGGATTCTTCCTTTCTCCGTCTTAGAAAATGGCAAACATCTTTTCGATCCTTTCACGCTTGGATTAGAATACGAAATACATATATATATATATATATAGTTATTTTAAGACGTTTTGGAACGTTCGTAGTTGCACGTTACGCACGATACCAACTGCAATACCTCGCACAGTTGCAATTGAAACGTTAGATGTTACCGTGTTACTTCTTGGCGAAACAACGGGACGCTAGAGGAGATGATATCCAGGACTAATGGGATTGCAAGGCCAATCAAAGTCTGCCGGAAGTGAGAAGGCTGAGCGGTTAACCCCGCGTAATGGAGGTCAGCTCCTTCGGGGCCGAAACTCGGACTTTGGAAATTGGTCTGCCCTCTTTGGCGGTGGCGAGCCAACTTGCGATCGTCTTGGTCTCGATTATTGTCATTCCAGTTTCGGTCGCGAAATGCGATTAAAACGCATAAGCGAAATACGCGTGCGTGCACGGCTGCCTGTATCTTTAGATTGGCAACTAGATCTTTCGAGCGCGTTGCTCTTGCGCGAGCATCAAATTTCTGATTAGAAATCAGTATCAATGGAATCAATTATACAGACGAAAGCGCGAAGATACGAGGTACGAACGATCGATAAACTCGTCTGTGGGGCAAACGATAAATTTTATTCGAGCGCTGTTCGATAAGCGATAAAGTTACAAAGTAATAAAGAAACCAACGGACGCAGCGTCGAATGGTAAACTGAGATATCGCTATAATTCTATCAACTCTCGCTTCGCCCTCTGGAATCGTGGTTCGCGCGTGTGAGATAGGATTACTACACCTTGTTTGTTCGAAGGGAGGAAGAGTTCTCGTTTGAGAGAGAATATTACGAAATAATCGCAAGAAATAGACACGGCGATGGCTCGGGCGCGACTCGGTCGGCGAGGCGTGCTAAAAGGTTTTAATGATTTACGAAAAGTGTGATCAAACGAATACGATCTGGAGCGTGGAGAAGCATCGAGAGCAGGCAATCCCGCGGGACGGTGAATTTCGGAGGAAAACCGAAAGGTACGCGCGGTAGGTCGAGTTACCACTCGCTATACCGTGCCAGTCGACTACGGCCAATGTTACCGTGGGTCTAACCGACCTTTTCACTTCGTTTCCCTCCACGGGCGGGCGCAGTCACTGCCGCCAACTCTATTTATCAAATGTACGTTTAATTTTTTCGCGGGCACAATCATACATCATCCTCGAGGCGTGATCCGGTTAGGGCTGCGGAGGAGGGTCGGGCTCGCTTCTCCAGACGTGGCAGGATTACCAACCGAGAAATTCACCGGAAAATGGAACCCCGCTCTCTTTCTCCCTCTCTCTCTCTCTCTCTCTTTCTCTCGTCAGCCTCTTTCGCGAGTAACTACCACTTCGTCCCGCTTGTACGCCGAAATTGCTGCTGATAGATCGACCATGGAGAACCAGAACGTGGAAACGTACACCTATACTCGTCTCTCCTTTCCTCTCGCAGCTCGTCCTTTCGAACGAAACGAAAACAGTCGTTCGAAATACCGTGGGTGAGATACACGTGAAGCTTGACGACGACAGGATCTACGCGTCACGCCCTCCAACGAAAACTTTCGGGCAAAGTCTTTTCTATCCGAGCTGACGTCTCGCACGACGTCGTGATATCGATGTTCGTCGACTACTTCGTCGCCGCTTTTCCAACCTACCAGGAATAAGTATCGAAAAAAACACCGTCAACTTATCCTTTACGCCGACTGACGTGTACCACGCCACGAGAAAAAAATTTGCCCGCACGTACATGTTACCTGTACGCACGTGGATGCTCGTGAAATTGAAACATGAGTGTTGTTTCGGACAAGACAAACTGATTGACCGCGTCTGTTATATTTTTTTGTTTTGGCAGCTGAAAATTATTTCAGTAGATGTTAGCTTTTCAGTGCACGTTCGTCTTTCATCGTCGGCGACTGCGAACGCTTTCGCTGAAATTACATTGTCCGAACTTTAAAGAATAAACACGGAGATTCGTAATGTAAATGCTTTACGACGTTGCTGTTTTAATCGCGTCTAACGAGGCGAAAGAAGCGCGGGCAAACGTAAAAATGATCGCGTTAAATGTAATCCTGTTAAAAGAGAAACTCGCAATTATTCCTCTGACGTGGGTACAAAACAAGTTACGTCGTTTGCTTTAAACCAGAGGAACGCGGTTAGTTTTCTCATCAACGTTTCGAGTCAATTTTTAATTGCCGCTCCTTTATCGTGCATTTTAAACGAAATCTCTCCGTCATCGGGCGAAGCGCCGAAGTTATTGTTCGTTATTGTGGCAAAGAATTCATCGGCAGGTTTTACGTACACCTATCGCGCAGAAACAGGAGAAGGAAAGGAGATTCTCAAAGACGCGAATTCTTCGACGGAGAGAGAGAAAAAGAGAGAGAGAGAGAGAGAGAGAGAGAGCCGTGTGGCATCTTCTATACACGGGATCGTATGAAAAGCGAAAAGGAAGGTTGCGGCTGGCAGAAGCCACGGTGGCTGCGGCTCAGCCCCGAGAAATTATGGCTCTTGTCACGGCTGTTCATTTGTAGATGGAGTTTTTGCTCCCTGAGGAGGCTGCCCCAATCACGAGCCGCGGAAATTGCACCCCTCCCTCCCCCCCAACCCGCCCTCCCTTCCCTTACTGCTTCGCCTTCCCATCCTCCCGCTAAACCCGGAGAACTACCCCTTCTCTTCTCTCTCTCTCTCTCTCTCTCTCTCTCTCTTCTTCTTCTTCTTCTTCCACCTTCCAGCCTCGAAACCAACCCGTCCTCCTCTACCTTTTACCCTTCGACTCACCCTACCCTTACCCTTACCCGTTTCGTCGACGCCTTACGTCCCCGATACCGCCGCCGCTCTCCTATTGACGCCCCACGCACTCGTCTCCGGATGATTTATCGAAAATTGGAAACCTGACGATTGTCGATCGTCACCCATCCCCTTTCCCGCCCTTCCTCCTGACGTCGTCTCACCGCTGCCGGGTGCCTCGCCCGCGTTTTCGCGCCCGATCCAAAGTCTAGACAATCGCGCGAATCTCCTTCGAAATTTAAAAACCACCGTTGAGAATCTCCTTTCTTTTTTCGCTTTCTCTTTCTCGGTTTCCATCGCCGCTCTCGAAACACTCTCTGTCCTTTCAGTTGGAATCGTTTCGATCGCGATACGACGCCTCGATCGACGCGTAGGAAAGGAACGCGATACGAAATAAACGACGTGAAAACTTTCCCTCGGTGCGTGCGTGTGCGTGAGGCACGAAGGGGAACGAAACGGCGTTGAATCGTTACGGGAGCGGCAAAACAGCAATCACGGCGTTTCAGGCTTTTAACGCGGCGCGAGCTAAACGCGGAACGATTTAACTGGCGTTCTGGCGAATTTTCATCGTCCGCGCGTTGGAGGATTTACTTACCGCGAAATGTTCTTTCCACAGCTGACGATGTTTCTCGCGTAGGTGGTACTCCGCCGTTGGTAAATACCTGCGTACGTACATAGACTCGAGTTGAACCTGTTTTCGTCGAAAATTTCAAATAATACGACGTGTTGATTCGAAGCGTTGGTATCATAGATGCGAAACATCGAGGTAATTTCTCCCGTCGGTGTCTATACGGCTCTCGGTTCCAACTAATTTTGATAAAGTTGCCGGCCCGGCTAAGGAAGAGGACTCGTTTTAATCGACTGGAATCGATTTCCCATGCGATAACGTCGTATGGTAATTTGTGCAATTTCCTTCGGCCCCTACCCCGCCGTCGAAGTAAAGTAACATTCTCGTAATTAAAGTTGCGGTGACACGAAGGGGTGGTCGCGGCGATGAGAGGGACGCGAAAACGAGCGTGAGGAGGAGGAGGAGGAGGTGGAGGTGGAGCAAACGCGAGAAGAGAAGAACTGTGACGGAAAGGAAGAACCATCTCGCGCGCGCACAGTAGGATCCATCACGGTGCAGTAACGAAGGCATCAGCTGATGACACATTTTAATATCTTAAAACAAGCAGCTGCGAAGCCGGAGAATTTCTGTTCTCGTCGTCGCGTCGTCGTCGGCCCGTTGGTTCTCTCTTTCTCTCTCTCTCTCTCTCTCTCTCTGCCACCGGCAAGCAACAAAAGACCGCGTCATGCATTATCCTTCTGGTTTTTCCAGAGCTTTTGCCGAAGCTGATAGGCCGAAGCTGGTATAGGGATAGAAAAGACAGGCAAGGAGGCCTTGGCTGTGGAAGCCAGCCCGGCCGCGGAGAAGGATGGAAGGGCTGTGTGTGTACGCTGGTACAACAGCAGCAGCTACAGGCTGCGGAGGAGGCGACAAGCCAAGTCCCCAGGTGCCGGCAGAGAGCGATGATTAAGCTCGCATTTTAATCAAAGACCCGGAGTGAAAAGTCTTGTAGTATGGAGATGATAGGATTTCCCGCTTGATAAATCAAATCGGTATTTCGCGCGCGGTTCGCCGCTAATCAATTTTCTTCTTTTTCTTTCTTTCTTTTTTTTCTTCTTTTTTTTTTTTTTATCCATCGCTGATCCTCCGTCGCGAGACCCTTTTTTCATTGATTTCATATCTGATCCCATCCGAGGAATTTCGTATCCGATTATTATCGTTTGCCTCTCTTGCGCGTCTGTCTCCTGCCTCCCGTCTCTTCACTCGCAGCTCGTCGTCTCCGTCATTGTCGAATCGTTCCACGTTACGTTCTCACATTCATTATCATTTCGCTGCACGATCTTTGCAAATTTTCAGTTCTGAATCGCACGAATGACAACACGCTGGCTCCCGCGAAACCGGTGGCTAACGCGATTTCGCTATCGATCTGTTCCATAAAGCAAAGTTCGCCCGGAGGCGAACCAACTTCCCTGTGTCCCGATGCCCATGAAATCCCACGGAAGGGCCGTATCCGGCCGGGTTTGGGCACAAATTTTACGAACTAAATTATTATAACGGGCGAAATGCGAGAGCAAGCGCGCGCGCGCGCGTGCTTTACGACTCCCAGCATTCTCGTACAGCTCCCTTAGCTCGTCCGCTGCTGTTCCGCGTATCCTCTCTCTCTCTCTCTCTCTCTCTCTCTCTCTCTCTCAGTATCCTTCTTCTCTCGTCTCGGTACGTACGAAGACACGTCGCCATCATCCATACATTATGCACGGACTAATGTTGTTTTTATTCAACACGGTCTCCGACACCGTATACACCGGCGCTGGCCCCATCCGCGAGACGCTAAACCCCCGGGCATCGTTCTTTACGGCGATATAATTTAATTTTTCAGATTTAAGGACCACCTATTCTCTCCCTCGTCCGCGTCTTCGCCGCGCGATCCCCCGGGCGAACAATTTTCCCCCGGAAAGGAGGCGCGCCGCGTACCAAACTTTATGGATTTTGGATCGTTCGTTGACGCGAGCCGAAGAATCTCCGGTGTCGTTCAAACTTTTTCTCTCTTTCAAAGTGGCCGTGATTCTCTTTCAGAATCTCGAGAAAGAGCTTGCCTCTGCGTACTACATTCAGTGATATACGCGTAGATATCGAGAGGTCGTGAAATTGGGGCAACAAATCACGTTCGTTTCGTCTTGTTGCCAATTCCCGTTGTCGTTCGCCCGGCTGACACCCGTCTGGCAAAGTCTCGCGCCAGCGTACGCCGAAATCCTAAAAGCACCAGCATCGGCAGCGGCGGCGCAGCTTTGAGAGTTTAGCGGCGTTACTTTTAGCTTCGGGTGACGCGATTGCCGCGTCAAAGGGATCGAAATTGAAAATTTGAATGACAACCGTGCACTCTGGCGCGGACGTGCGCCCGGGGGTTGGTGAGCAAGCACCAAAGCACGTGAAGGTGAGTAGGTGAGACCCAGTGAGACTAGCTCTCGAGACGCGGAACGGCAAAAAAGGAGAGAAAGGATGGAAAGGGACGCCACGTTCTCAAAGGGGACATACCGTAGATGATATTTTATTCTTGGCCCTCTATCCTCCCCTCTATCCTCCTCCACCTCCCCTCCCGTGACATCTTCCAGGTCTTCTCAGTCCCGTTGATGCCGTTCTCGCCGCACCAACGTAAGTAGCGCTGGCAAACGGGGCTCCAGGCCTGCTCTGATGGATTTCACGACTCCATGGGGTCCCCTCAATCCACACTCACCTCCCCCCTCACCCCTGACCTCTACGCCAGCCCGGGATCCCACCTCGCTGCGTTTCTCCGCGCACGTTTTCACACGTATCCACGTTTCACGTGAGCGCCCGCCTAAGTATCCACGCATTTTTGTCTCCGCGTGCTCGCCTTTCTCGCTTTGCAGAATCGATCCCAATTTTCGCCAATTTTCCGTGTACGCTCCGCCGTACGTGGACAACCAGATGCCGCGTTGCGACAAATTTGCACGTATGCACGTGTAATGACAGGCGTCTGTCTATAGACGGAGCCGGAACTGACACTAGTGATACTGTTACGGTGTTACGGTACACCGAACGACCGTGTCTAACTGTAGATGGAGTGGAAAGAAGCGCAGGGTCACGCGTTATCAAACGTACCCTTACGAGGGAGTCGTAGCGAGGCGCGATAGAAAATTCAGGGGAGACGTAAAACCATCCTTGGTGACAAATCCATTGGTCGTATTCCGTAGAATTTTCAATTATTTGCGTAAATAAAACATGGCGATCCACGAAGACGATGGAAATTGGAAACCAAGAAACCAAGCGGTGGGATATGACGTAAAACCACCCCTGCAGTTCCTCCTCCGGCTGAATCGTGCATGTCGCCGACGGTCCCCGAAGAATGTCGTTACAGATACGCACAACTTGTCTAATGGTCCACTCACGACGGATCTCTTTTGCGTTGCAAAAATTGCAAAGCAAAGAGTTTGCAAATTTCGCAGTGGTCAACTGTTGGTTGACCCCGATATTGTGTGAGGTGCGGCCAAGAAAAAACTAGACTCGCGACTGTTTGTCTAATCGCCCTAGTCTTGAGACGTAATTAAAATTATTTGCGTACGGTTGTGTGTGTGTGCGCGCGCGTGTGTGTGTGCGTGGAGTGCGTATAGAGGTTTGAGTTAGGTTTTGTCATCGCCATATCTTCCTTAATTACTCAAGTATTGACAAACTGTTTGTCACAAACCAGTCGGGCGTTAAATTCTGTGTCAATTTTGCCCCGGAATCGTCGTACGCTGTGCCAGGAATCACAACCTGTAGGAACAACGACTGTAGGACAACGTTTTGCGTTTCGTCGGAACGCGTCAGAGAGGCCAGAGGCGTATTTCCTTTCCAGGCGTGTTCTTCCTTTCTCGCTGTAACCGGTCAGGCGAAAACGGACGACGTTGAAGTTTTTAATATTCCCCGTAAACAGGCAGCATCCACCTCTGGGACGAACTTTGAATTAGCAGAGACATATTCATACGAGGAGTTTGCATCGAGGGTCGTTCCTCGGAGGGCACTCCGTCATCTCACTGCTTCTCGCTCACCTCGAGCCTTCCCCGAGCCGTACTGTCCCGCGCTCGTCCTCGGGGAGACGCTGCTCATTAATTAAGTCTTTTTACAGACTGACCCGCACAAGTGGCAACGAAAGCTTAAAAACTCGACCGAACCTCTATCTCCTGAGCGCCAGACATTCTCATCTCCGATACTTGTTCACCGATACTCCGCCGATATATCGCGTCGTTCCTACTCCCCTACTTTTCCATTTCCTCCCCTCACTTCCCGTTCTTCTTGCTTCTCACTTTTTCACAAACGCGTTCATTTTCTGGTAGCTAGGTCGATTCGGAGGCCAGGGACA